TGGGGGCCTCTTTGGAGCCTCTTGGAGGCATCTTGGGCGCCTCTTGGGGCCGTCTGGGCGCCTCTTGGGGCCATCTTGGGGCGCTCTTGGGAGCCTTAGGAGCGCTCTTGGGGCCATCTTCGAGGAGCTCGATCAGAGCAGAGGGGGTCCCTAATTGCCCCCCCCCCCCCCTTGGGAGCCCCACAAGTCGCCTCTTGGGGCGCTCTTAGGGCCGTTTTGGGGCTCTCTTGGGTCTCTCTTGGGGCCCTCTTGGGCCATCTTGGAGCCATCCTGAGGCCACGAATGGCTGGCTATCGGAAGTGAAAAGGTGAGAACACGCACATCATTGATTTCCTTTGGTTTCGGAAGGATGTTGGCTTCTTGGAGTCATCCTTGGAGGTCTCGGATGCGTATCGGAGCCGTCTTGGAGCGTTCTTGGGGCCTTTTGAAGCATCTTGGACGCCGACTTGAGGCATCTTGGTTATCTTGAGCCATCTTAGAGGTCATTGTGGGCTCTCTGAGGTCCTCTTGAAGCCACATTGACAGAAAAGGTACCCTCTGGCATCTCGCGGGGCGCCTCGTCCAGGTCCAGGGGAGGCTGTAAGGGGGAGGGGTAAGCCCCTCACCGAACGGGAAGAAGGGGGTTGGAAGAGGAACTGCCTAGACCACCTACGCCCATAGGGCTGGTTGGTTTTATGTTTTGAAAACCAAGGGGCATTGTTAGGCGAGGACCGGGTCAGGACTTATGGAAGACCACGGGGTTGCTAAGAGGTGAGGGGGTTTCACGTGGATGCTAAGATAAATCATACCTGGCCTGACTGGGCTTATGAGCTTGCGAGTGGGTTGCAAGTGCCCTATACAAGCGGCTTATGGGGGCAGCGATCTGGGCTAAGTGGGCGGAGCCCACTTGCTGGATTTTCCAAGCCCGTTTAAACCACTCAGGGTATTTGTAACCCATTTATAGAGTAGGTCGGGCCAGAGATAACCCACCTTCACGTCCACATCGAATCCCCTACTCCCTTAGCAACCACGGCGGTCATGCAGGCAAGGGTGTCGGGGGCTTAAATCGGTTGCATCTAAGTGTGACCCTTCGCCAGATCGGCCTCGCCCACAGGGGTCCCCTCATCCGGGGAACCCGAACGGGGTCCAAGCAGGCAGGGTCGGAGGATCGCGCCGCATCGCCCCGATGGGGCTCTATAAGGAGCTCGATTTTCTTCCATGCCGACGGCGCCGATGCTTCGCTGACGTCGGCGATTCTCCGAGCCCATCTACCATCTACTTGGACCCCAGGGGCTTCCAATCGGCTGCAGGCAAGAGAGTGACCCTTCGCGGGATGGACCTCTGGTGCGGTCCTACAGGGGTCCCTTCAGCATTCCCTGAGTTTCTGGCGTCGCAATGTTTTCGAGCCAGGCGTTGTCGCATGATTTCGGGCCTGGGGCCTTCGCATATCGATCCGGCTCGAAGCAGAAAGATGGGGTTTGGGGCCTTGGTCGGGATTTCCACGATGTTGCATTTCTTGGCGGCCAGCCAATGGGGAAGTGAGGAGGGGCGGGCCTTCTCAGAAAGCTCGGAAGTCCCCTGGCCTTCTGAGAAGTCTACGAAGCCTTCACCGAAGACGCAGAACACTTCTCAGAAGGACGGTGAGGGCTTCTGAGAAGCCTCGCCGGCCTCTGAGACGGCCTTCTCGCCTTCTCCTTCTTGCTTCCCTCCCTCGCTCGCCGCCAAAGTTTTTCCGCGTCGTCTGATCTCAGGGCTGAGCTGCGCGCTTGAATCTGACCCCCTCCCCCCCGCGGCCCCCGAGGGTCGCGCGCCGATGGTCACTCCTGCCCAGGGCCGCTCGGGCGTGTAGGCGACCCAGGGGGGGGGGGAGAGGACGACGGAGGGGTGGCCCAGGTGGCGATCGTGGCCCCCTTTGCTTCGAAGCGCCAGGGTGGCCGGGGTGGCCGTCATGGCTCCCATTGATTATTCTTTTTCTTCTTCTCGTTCTTCTTCTCCTCCTCCTTCTTCTTCTTCTTCTCTTTCTTCTTCTGCTTCTCTTTCTTCTTCTATTTCTTCTTCTCTTTCTTCCTGTTTCGAAGCGTTCCCTGCCCCCCCTCGTCCGCGCACGTGCCGTGGGCCGTGAGGCGCTGGCCCCTCCTCCTCCTGGCCCCACCTCTTTTGGCCGTTCGGGTGTCCTTCCAGGGTTTTCTTGCCTCGGGGTGCTTTCCGGCAGCTGCGCCTCGCCGCGAGCGATCCGGGCACCCTTGAGAGGGCTGCGTTGTGACCCGACCGCCAGGCGACGAGGTGGCGGGAGGGCGAAGGGCCCACGCTATTTCCGATCGGCCCGAAGTCCAGAGGACTCGGGGTGAACAGCTTGGCTCCTGCCAGCGGCAGTCGCAGATTTCTCGGGCAGGCACGAGCGGGCGCAGGCGAGGGGCAAACCCACAGATCTCAGTCTTGGTAACCTTCACGAGCCGTGCCAAGCTAGGAATCGGAGTGAGCAGCTTGACTCCTGCCTGCGGCAGCCATTGTTTTCTCGGGCGGGCACGAGCGGGAGCTGGCAAGGGGCGGGGGGGGGGGAGGAGAGGAAGGAACCCCACAGATCTCAGTCCTGGTAACCCTTACGGAGACCGCTTCGTTGGCAGGCGCTCGTCCAAGGTGGCGCGCCAGGGAAGGCCGCCAAGCCTACGAGAAATACCACCAGTGTGATACAGATCCGTTCTCAGTCGTTGTGTCTGATGCTCCAGTCTGTAGTGTGATGTTGCGCCAACGCCGCTTCCAGCCGGCGCCTCATGCGATGGGCAACAGTGTTTTCTGCAGCGTGCTCAGCTCGTCGAGTTCCTAGAGAGAGAGAGAGAGAGAGAGAGAGCGCGGTGTCGTGGTCAGACTGTAGAGAACCGACGGCGTCACCACGCAGTCGAAAATACGCAAAAGCAATGTGATCGGAATGCTGCGGTCCTGAAGCATCGCTCCCAGGATTGGGAAAGGTTTTGGATCACGAAGCGGGACGAACTGGGGTTCGCCGATATCGGCGCCGCCGCCGAGCGGTTTTTCTGGATGTGCGTGGGCGCCTCTGGCGCCAGTGCCCGGGTCGACAGGTGCGAGGGCATCCAGTGGTAATTGGGGGGGGGAACCAGGGCCGGAGGGTCGATGCTAGCACGGCGAGGGCCACGACAGTTCCCGGATTTCATGGCTCCTGCTTCCCCTCTCCACACCTGGCCACGCCCGATGGCCCCCCTTCCTCGTCCGCGCATGCGTTTCTTGCCGCCCGCCTCTGCTGCCCCGGATCAGCCCCACTCGGCCGGGGCCTGGACGAGGAAAAATCCATTCGCCGAGGCATCGCCGATGCATCGGCGATGCATCCGCGATCCTCCGATTCCATCCAAGCGGCCTCCTACTTTTTCAAACTGGAAGCCCCGACCCTTTCCCTAGGGCCGGCTTCCTCGGACGGGCCTAGAGTCGAGATGCGTCCGTCCAGAGCGTCCCCTCGCCGATGCACCGCCGATGCATCGGCGATGCATCGGTGGATCAGCGGGTGCCTCCCAGCCTTGGGGCGGGGCCACGCCCTGCACCACCCGGTCGACCTGGGTCCGCCCCTTTCGGGAGGCCTCCCCCCCTGGCAGGTGATGGGCACGGCGGCGCGAGGCGCCGCCCCCCCCCTTGGCCGGCAGGGGGGTGGCGGCGGGCGGCGGAGGGCCAGGAGGCCACCTGCAGGGCTCGGCCTAAGCTCACCGAGCGCGTTCCCTTACTCGCAAAGTGCCTACCTCGCACACGTCCGAAAAAGGCACGTCTGCTTCGGTGTAATGTGTCGCACATCTCCCAGGGCGGATCCAGGCCATTTGCGAGCAGTTGCTTTGCGAGCAGTGGAACGCGCTGACCCATAGGCGGTGTGTTAGCGATCTCGTGGGCCGTTTTCGTGTTGGCCTCGTTTTGCAGCAGAGGCGGGATGGAGAGACAGCGCGAGGGGAGAACGAGAACGGAACGAAATCGAGGAACACCGTCTAGGTCGAGCCTTGGTCCACGACGCGTCACTCGTTGGGACATCGAAGCTTCACTCAAGGAAGACAAGGGGCCTCGTTCCTTATTTAGGGTTCCTGGTTGCGTAGGGTTGCCCTTCGTGTCCTGGGAGGGCTCGTGCGAGAGCACCGTCCTGGAGAGGAGCCGCCCTCCGTCTGTGCAGCTGTGACGGGTCAGGCCTCTCGGTATGTGTGGGCTCACCCGCCGGTCGTTGAAAACAGGTATTCTTTGATTCCGGGCCCTGGTCTGCTTCTGGCGCCTTCCTGCCCCAAGAATCGATATGCTTTTCCTGCGCTTCGCTCTTCTCTGGGACTTCCTGAGCACAATCTACTTTATCTGTCTTCCTAGTTCATGTTTATCCGCGCACCAAAGGTCACCCCAGGGTCACTCTTTGCGTGTAGCGGAGGGAGGACCGAGGCGGGGACAGACAGATGTGGGAATGGACGCCTTGGTGATTGGACGCCCCAGCCGGTCGGAAGGGAGGGCGGCGGGCTGCGGAGGGCCAGGAGGACCGAGACGGGGACGGACGGATTGGTCGGGGAAGCGTAAGACGCGAGTACGCCAGAACTCACGTTTGCCAACGCCTTTTGATGAGAGCGTCCTGGATTCTGACGGACCAGTTCTCGCGAAGTGTTTGCAGCGGGAGGTTGCGTTAGATTTCAGACCAGGCCTCGCCATTTTCATGATCGCCCCGTCGAGCCAGCCCGAGTTCCCCGAACCCGAGTCTCACGTCTCCCCGAGTTTGGGAATGGACGACTTGGTGGTTGGTGCGATGTTGGTCACAGTCGGACCGAGGTATATGATCGAGGTCGGTTCGGGGAGGGTACCTTGATTTTCGTCGTGTTTGTGAATGATATCGTGCATCCTGGAGGAATTTGCCCTCGAGTGTGCTTTGGCTTGGTCGGCGGAGGGTCTCATGTTCTTGGAGGATGTTCTTCTATCCTAGGTCTGGCCGTACGGCTGTCTGCTTGCGCAGTGAGGAACTATCCAAACAGGCTTCATCAATCACAACTTCGTAGTGTACATGGTAATCGGCCGGGTATACCCAGTCGGCCCACACGAGACCCCCGTCCCGCCAGCCACCATTTGGGAGTACGAAGTCGTGGTTAGGGAGTGTGGCTTCATCTTGCGAAGGCCTTACGGCCAGCGCCGCCGACCCTGAAGGCGGGACCCCCGCTGGCGACCCCTGCTGGCGACCCCCCCCCCGGACCCGCCGGGACCCCCAGGGGCGGTAGTCTGATCGCCCCCCCCGCCCCACGGCAGGGAAAGGATCAAGGACAGGGGCTTCCCTTCCGACTTCACTCCGACGTCTTCTTCTCTTATTCATAATTTTCTTGTGGCTCATTCTATTGATGCTTGCCCTTCCGCGCTAGGTTGGACATCTGCGCGTCATGTTCAGAGTGCAGCTTCATCGGGACTATTGTGGAACTGCGCGGCCTGAGTCAGCAAAAGCATTGTCAAGAGCTTCCTGGCGACGGAGGAGAAGCGTGACCTACTTGTACAGCCGAGTCCTCCTCTTCCTTGGGGCTTCGTGAAGGCCTCTTGGGGGTCTGTTGGGAGTGTTATTTCTGGACTCTTGATGGACTTCTTGGGCTGTTCACCAGCGCCCTGGGAGCATCCAGGGGCATCTACGAGGGCATGTCGGGGGCCTTTGACACCATCTTGGAGTTGGAGTTCGAGTTCCCCCTCTCGGACCCCTCTTGGGGCCATCTCGGGTGGTCTCTTGATCCGTCTTCGAGGTCTCTCGGGCCGCCGTCTTGGGCTTGGGGCGTCGTTGGAGGTTTCTTGGGACGGCCTGGACCGTTCCCGGGGGCCTCATGGGCCGTCGTTGGCCTGCTTGAGCTCGACACCCTTTGCCATCCCCACTTCTCGTCCACGGGCCTTCTCGGGCCGTCTCGGAGCCTCGGGTGTCAGGTGTCTGGGCTCGTCTGGGGCCACCCGGGGCAACCGTCTGCCTTCGGCCGATGGCGCGACACATCTTCCCCCGCCTCATCTTCAGCCTCTTCGTGGCCGCGGGTCGAAGAGCAGGCGGGACGAGCCGCGCAACCATCGTTCGGAGGGGCCGCGCGGACTTGAAGGGTCGACGCTGGCTCCCCCCCTCCCCCGGCGGCGCCTCCTGCGCCGCTTCGCGGCTCAGGGGCCAGCGTTTGGGGCCCAGCGCCGACCCGAGAAGTCCTCGCGGGCCTCCGACCGCGTACACAGTCAGCCCATGCCGAGAAACACCCCGCTTGCCTCCAGGGTGCCCTGGGTTTTTTTGAACTCCGATGTGGGTAAGCTGCGAACGCTTGGTTTCTGTCGCGACATCCGTTGACTCGCCCTCCTCCCGCGCATCCCCCCCCAGCGGTCTGAGTATGAGTATGAGTGTGTATGAGCATGAGTCTGAGTATGAGTACGAGTGAGTCTGAGCATGAATGCGTCTGAGCCGAGTGAGTCTGAGCGTGCGCGAGTTTGAGCGCGAATGAGCCTGGGCGACGATGAGGGGGAGGAGGAGGAGGAGGAGAAGGAGGAAGAGGAGGAGGAAGAGGAGAAGGAGGAGGAGGAAGGAGGAGGAGGATGAGGATGATAATGAGGAGGAGAAGGGAAGGAGGAGGAGGAGGACGAGGAGGAGGAGGAGGAGGAGGAGGAGGAAGAGGAGGAGGAGGAAGAGGAGGAGGAGGAGGAGGAGTAGGAGGAGGAGGAGGAGGAGGAGGTCCGTAGCCATTTTGGCTCAAGCCATTTTGGCTCAAGCCTCCCTGGGGTCAGGGAGTACACGGTTAGGGCCCAAGGTACCACAGCTGGCGTCACGAGGCCCTACCTCATTTTTTTGTTTCACCTGCTTAGGACCTTCCCTGTTGGGGGCATCGTCGAGTTTTCTTCTCTCGTCAGTGCGCAAGGATGGCCGAGGCAGAATTTCATGATGCGATGGGCACTCAAGAGCTTGCGGAGGTTGCGGCAGCTTTGGACGCCGCCCCGACCTTCCCCGATGACGAGTCCCGAGTGGTTCACACTCCTCTTCGTGCTGATGGTGGCGGCCCTGCTGTTCCTCCCCTTCCTGGCGACGATGAGAATGAACGCAAGCGACACCGTGCCGCTAATCCCGAGATGGATGGGTTGCGAACTCATGTGGACAACACTCGCGCCGACGTCATGCTCACTCTGGCTGCTGTTCAACAGAATTTGGTGGTCGTTGGGAACTCGTTCCAGTCTCACTGCGAGAGAATCGACCAGCAGATGGAGCAGCGCTTCGGGCAGATCCGTAACGAGACCCACGAGCAGAACAACAAGATCACCTCCATGCAGTCCGAGATCAACGAGCTTCGCCAGTTGCTGGGCGCCGTCCGTGCGGAGACCCCCTCGGCAACGCAAGCTGTTCCTGCTGGTGGCAATGGCTTTGATCGTAAGGTCGACACTTCCATCATCGTGCTTCGCTCTCGGGACCCAGTGCCCCGCCAAAATGCTCTTACAGGTTTCATGCCAGTGCCCGACGCCGCCAACATCGATGCGACCGATGTGGAGATCGAGGGCGACCCCATTGCCAAACGCTTCCAGGTTCGCTTCAAAGGTGCCCACGGATATGCCACTCGCCGAGCATCTCAGACGCTTTCCGCGATGCGAACCCTCGGACCCAACCCGGGCTGGATGCAGCTCACCGCGAAGACCGCCACGAACGCAAACACCCCGCTGTGCGTCAGCAGCGACAAGAACTCCTTTCAGATCCAGCGTGAGATTGGTCTCAAGCTACTACGCGCCGCCATTGAACAAGAATACACGGGTCGTCGCTTCTACACTGACAAGGTCAAGGGAGAGCTCAGCCTCAACTGGAAAGTCTTCGTCCGCATCACTCCCGTTCCTGGTATGGGCGAGCCGCCCAAGATCGAGTGGGCCAGGAACCACATCGACGCGCTGGGCTTGGATCGTGCGAAGCTCAGTGAGATTGCAGCCCGTGTCTTCGCCCGCGAAGAAGACCAGCCCGAATGGTGTCTTTAGCGAGTTGTTCGGCCTGTTGTCAGGTGGCAGGCCCGGCTTCCAATCTCTGTCCTGTTGCAGCTGGAATGCCCGCCCCCTCTTCCACCACGACCCTCACCTCCGCACGATTAAGTACAACTACCTCTCTTCCCTACTCTCCGACTCCAGCATTGTAGGCGTCGAGGAAACGCGCGGCAGCGAGCTAGAGGTCCGTGACTATCTCTACCACGCCCACAAAAAAACACCTGGTCTTCAGTTCGTTTTGTCCGCAACGGAACGCTGGAGGGGCCCTCACTTTCTGGCCGCGACGTGCGCTCCCAGGAAATGCCGCGAACGACAGTTTTGAGGTGACTGAGCTTGTTCCTGGTAGGGTGCTCCGAGTTCGGCAATTCCTAGGGGGTAGTGGTGCATGGGTTACCCACTACAACATACACAATTGTGGGCTTTCTGCGGATCAAAAGCGTACGGTGGTTTTGGCAATCCGACGGGACCTGGGGGAAACTCGGGAAGCACCACACCTGCGTGTTTCGATTGTCGCAGGCGACTTTAACATCTCCGCGACGCCGCCCCAGCCTTTAATACCTGAGGAGGCGCAGAACCCAGGTCTTGGCTACGCCGACTCGCGCGGCTCGCAGGACCGCGTGTGGACCAGCCTCTTCTCCTCCCTCACCGAGATTGAGCTCTCCGACCCTACCCACGTTTCCATCGCCACCTCCTCCACCTCCGTGATCGACCGCCTCTTTGTATCGCTGCCAGGCTGGGTGGTCACACAAATGCATGCTACGGGTTACACTAAAGGGCAAGTCGAGATTTTGAACCACAGAGGCCTCTCGGATCACGTTGGGATCGCGGTGGGCCTTCGACCTGCGCCCCCGAAAGACCCCAAGCAGCAGCCCATTCCCAAAGCCATCTTCCAGTCCCCTGTGTTCCAACAGTATGTCCAATCCCACCTCGACGTCGTCGACCTCTCCCTCTATGACCCTCCCTACCGACTCCAGATTTACAAAAACCTCCTACGGGGCGCGGCCCGATTTACCCGACAGGCGATTTTGACGACAGAACCGACCTCTCGGCTTGCCCAGATTATCCTTCTCCGTTCCATCGCTAGGGTGGTATGGCGGCGGAACGTCCGCCTAGGCTCTATTCTTGTGCAGGCACATGCGCTGGCTGCTGAGCACTTCGACGTTGATGTGCAGAGGCGGACGGTTGCGTTGAAACGACCGACGGAATTCTCAGATCTGCTCGACCGACTGCAATCAGAGGACCTGGAGGCCGAACGTTCCGAACACCAACAGGCCCTCAGGGCCACCAATCAAGTGAATACTCAGAAGAAAATCCGACAGCGTCTCCGACGCCTGGAAACCCTAGTTAAGATTTGGGCCCCGTTCGATCGACGGCTTACTTTGAAGGCTATTGAGGTCAACGGAGTGGCACATGCAGATCCTGGTCGGAAGCAGACTGAGATATCGACCTACTGGGGGGAGGTGTTTTCGCCGAAAACGATTTCCCGACCCCAGGCTCGACGCTATCTCGACCGCTTCTGCTCTCATCACGACCTCTCCGACCTCCCTCCTCCTACCTACCGACATCTCGAAAACCACATTCGGCGACAACGCCACTCTGCCCCCGGCCCCGACTATTTACCTTGCGCTGCATGGCAACAGGCGCCTGGCGCGATCGAGACCCTCTATGCCTGTCCTTGGTGGGTGCTCGAGGGTGGGGCTCTCGGATGCGATTTCAACTTTCCACTCGGCGCCTTTCTCCCGAAAGGAGCCAAGGAAGGGGACAACGACGGGGCTATTCGGACGGCGGGGGAACTACGACCTCTGGGACTGAAAAACACCGACAACAAAATACTTGTGGGGGTCTGTGTTGCTTCCTTCGCCCGCCGTTGGGCGGCTCTGGCCTGCCCGATCCAGCGAGGCTTCATCGCTGGCCGCCAATTCGGGGATAATATTATCCAACTCGACGCCGCCGCCAGGCGTTACTCTATGGGCCCCCACTGCCTCCACCGACCTTCCCGCCCTCATCTCCTTCGACTTCTCTCTGGCCTTCCCTTCATTGGCCCACGAATGGTTGATGCTGGTGCTCCAATCCCTTCGCCTTCCTCCACCTCTCTACCTATTCCTATCATATATCTACGACAATGTGGGGTGCTGGACGGCTTTTGGCGGCGAACTACGGTTTCTTTTCCATGTTGGGTCGGGGATTATCCAAGGGTGCCCTGGGAGCGGACTTCTGTATGCGGTTGCGACTGACTTTTTTCTCCTGGACTTCCAGATGCATATCGACGCCAAAAACCGAGGAGAAATTAAGGCCTGTGCCGACGATATAGGAGCTGTCTTCAGACGCTTGCAGTACGTGCAACAGCTCCACCGCATCTTTAAGAATGCGCCCTTGTTCGCCGGCCTCATTTTGAAGGCAGCCAAGTGCCAGATCGCGCCGCTGAGCGGCCCCTTCACGCCTGCCCTCGCTGCCCTGTACCAGCAGAAGTTTCGCTCGCTGGTCGTGGGCTGGAGCGAGTTCGCTGTTGTGCCGAACCTTCTTTACCTGGGGATGTGGATGGGACCAAATGCAGAAGAGAAGAGTTGGGGAGCACCAGTGACGAAATGGAGGGAAAGGGGACTTGCGCTCGCCATCGCCAGCTCGCCTGCTTCGATCACTCAATGCCTCTATGTGCGGAGAGTGGCTCCAGTGCTCAATTACGTCTCGCAGTTCTTGCCACATCCTCCCCTTCTCGCCAGATACGAAGACGCGATGCTCTCTAGAATCTTCCGCTCCCCCTACTGTGGCCTGACTCGAGCTGCATGGCATTCGATGGAGACTTGGGGAGGCCCGAAGATCCCATCCGTGATTGTGGTCTCGCTCGCCGCCAGAGTTCGAGCCGCGAATGCGACGTTTACGACGTGGCGATCGTGTCTCGCCGCGCTTGAGGCTGTGGCACTAAGCGAATTGGGGCTCGCCGACTACGGCCGTGGCAAAACAGGCCCCAACTGGTGGGGGGCGAAAGCGATTTGTGAACACATGTCCGACGCGATGAAAGGCTTCCCCGATCTCAAGCACCACACACAACTCAAGCAGGCTATGGACACTTCCCTTCTGACCTTCTCTGATGCCGTGAGCCAAGGTAGGAAATTGAAGCTTCAGCGAGATCTTTGTAAGGAGTTTTCCGCCATTCTTCTCCCAGGGGACTGGCCCAAACTCATTTCTTCTCGCCTGGTTTCGCTTTTCCCTGCGCTTTCCGAGGACATTCGCGGCCTTGACTGGCCTCGGATCCAGGACGCCGTTCGACGTTTGAAACCGTGCCATGCCCCCGCTGTGCTTCGGACTCTCAGTCACAACTGGTGCACCGAATCTCGCTTTCAGCAGACGGCCACCTCGTTCTGTGTTTTCGGCTGCA